CACACACACACACACACACACACACACACACAAACAAACAAAAAAACGAACTTCCCCCCTTTTTTTTTTCGGAGGCCCCGCGCGGCCTCAAATTTTTGTTAATATTTTTTTGTGGTTTATGACACGACATCCCACTCGGGTCTAAAACACCCCTCCCCAACTTTTTTTTTTCTTCTCTTGACCTCTTATTTTCTGGGTGCGCCACACCCAGTGCGCGCGCGTCGTGCGCTGTGCGGGCGCGTGTGCGTGGTGCAGCGCACGTCGATGGGCCGCAAGTATGATATATATAGTCAAAGAGAGATATATGCTATATATTTTCAAACAGAACTGCCCGGTAAACCATAGGCAGAAAGGGAGAAGAGGAAGATTTTTCACTATCCATTGGTTTATAGAAAATCCATGTTTTAGGTGTTTCAAAATACACAACCTTCACAAAACGTATATAATAAAAGGAACTACTAACGCTGGTTACTACTCCTATTCAGGCTAATAAATAAGCTCTGCAACCTAGAGCAGCAAAAAAGAGAGAAAATTTGCTGCAAAATCCTGCTAATGGAGGTATTCCTGCCAATGAAAGCATAGAACAAGGGGCTGTGACAAACTGTTTCATCAGAGTTTCACCGACTCGTCAGGAGGCTGAACCCTCAACAGTCTGCAGAATCCCCTGACTGATTACACTGTAAGTGATAATCCACCTTAACACCGGTTGAGGTTAAGTATCAACGACTGCCTGACAACTGATACCCTGAGGTAGGCACCAACCACTGCCCTCAAGGTACCTGTGACGAAAATCAAAGCAGACTATCACTCACCCACACCAAATGGAAAACTGTACAGACTGTCGGTTCACAGCCGATCACACGTTGTCACAGTGGAAATCGGAGCGCAAAGGTGGAAAAAGACAGAACAAGAAAAAGAAAAAGAAGGAAGGAAGGAAAGCCCCACCTGTTTGTCAAACAAAACTGCCCGATGAACAGTAGGCAGAGAGGGAGAAGAGGACAACAAACGAGGGGCTGTGACAAACCGTTTCATGGGAGTTCCATCGACTCATATATGTATATATAGAGATTTCCTCCTTGAAGCCCCCTTCCCTCACTCACCAAGCTGGCCGGTCCTGAGATTCATCGCCGCCAAGACACTGCTCTCTGTTGCCACGAAGACCTGCTTCCGATGTCCAGACGTTTGGAACACAGCCTTCTTAACGTTCCCAGCATATTGCTGATGCCTGTGAAAAGACGAAAAAAAAACAAACACAAGGACCCAACAGCAGCAACAATACAGTCCCATCACTATCGTTAGAAAAAACAAAAACGAATCCTAGTTTCTGCCTCGAATTACAGAGTTGCCCCCTGCTATCATCATTACCATTCGCCGCCGCCTCCTCCTCCTCATCATCATCATCATCATAATCATCATCATAATCATCATCATCTTCTCACCTACGTCATCATCATCATCAACTCTCGCCTACATCATCATTACCATCATCAACTCTCACCTACATTATCATTACCACTCATCATAATTATCATCAACACATCATCATCATCATCATCATCAACTCTCACCTACATCATTCACGTCTCAATGATCATCTCCGTCAGCAGTTGGTACCAATCAGAAACATCTTCCTTTTTTTTTCATGATCACCAACACTCTTTCGTCGAGACAACGATAAGCCTTTAATTCGTTCGCAGAATTCTAATTCTATACAAATAATATTAATGTAAGTGATCAATGAAAGATAAAAGAAAAACAAAAGTCTTGCCCGACATCTCGAACACGGAACGAACGGGCCAGAAGACAGAAACGCATTTTTTTTTTCGGTGTTTCCTCTTCTTCCTTCTTTCAGATCTGCGAAGGTGATGAAAAAAACGATATTCTGTGACTTCGCGCAAAACAGGAGAAATCAAAAACGATTTCTTTTTTTTTTTTTTTTTTGGGGGGGGGGGGGGGCGGGGGAACTGCGTTTTTTGTTTTTGGGCGAGGAGGAAGAAGACCTACCTGATAGGGGTCGCGAGGAGAAAGGAGAGGGTTATCAACCTGAGATGAGAGACGAACGAAGAGAGAGTTGAGAGAGGGAGGGAGCGAAGAATTGAACAGGGATAAAGCGCCAGAGAGAAAGGGGGAGATAGAGAGTGAGGGAGAGGGTGGGAGAGGGATCAGAAGGAAGAAAACAGCGATACTGAAGGTGGCAAGACAGCGATGCTCAGATAGATGTCGACCAGAACGAATATAAAGATTCACCAGGCAGTTCACTATGACGATACATACTAATATGTATCGTCAAGCAGAGCTGCCCGGTAAACCGTAGGCAGAGAGGGAGAAGAGGACAACAAACGAGGGGCTGTGACAAACTGTTTATAGAAAGAGAGAGAGGAGAGATGCACATAGTTACAGAGAACTGCCCGGCGAACCGTAGGAGGCAGAAGGCAGAGAAAGACAAGAAAAGGCGGGCTGCTGTGCCAGACGGTTTCGTCGGAGTTTGACCGATTCGTCACGAGGGTATTCAGATCCGCATATATACGTCTATACTAGACTCCATAGGCATTGACGATATATATATTGTCACACTGTGAATCGGAGCGCAAAGGCGGAAAAAGGCAAAACAAGGAAAGGAAAAGAAGGAAGGAAAGCCCCACCTGTTCATCACCTCTTACGTACAAGGCCAGCCACGTGGACGACAGGTTGAGCGCTGGCTGCCCCCATCCCCGTGTGTCACAAGGACCCACTTGTACGCAACCAAAAGGGAAAGATATATATATTTCGTCACAAAGATGTCAGAACGCAAAAGCGAAAAAAACAAGAAAAAATCAATTCATTTTTTATCTTCTTACTTACAACTCCCCCTGTTCAGAACCTCTTGCGTACAAGGCCGCCCACGTGGATGTAGGTTGAGCGGCGGCTGCCCCCACCCCCGTGTGTCACACTGTGAATCGGAGCGCAAAGGCGGAAAAAGAGAAAACAAGGAAAGGAAAAGAAGGAAGGAAGGAGAGCCCCTCCTGTTCATCACCTCTTACGTACAAGGCCAGCCACGTGGATGACAGGTTGAGCGCTGGCTGCCCCCATCCATCCCCCGTGTGTCACAAGGACCCACTTGCACGCAGCCAAAAGGCAAAAAAGAGGTAAAGAAAAGGAGGAGGAAACCAAACCTGACAGGGAAAGAAAACCTATCAGTCAAACAAAGCAAATGACACATCCCACAGATAATCCAATTGCCACAAAACAATAACGCATCCCACAGATCAACATATTTTTTCTTTTTTCTTTTTTCTTTTTTTCTTTTTTTCTCTTTTTTTAGGTTTTATCTGTCCCCACCTCCCTATATATCCCTATACAGCCCTACATTAGCCGACATATATAGATGCGGAATGATATAAATTTCTACAGGGAACGATATAGATAGATAGATAGATAGATAATTAGATAGATATGCAAGGGGAAACATACAGATATGAATGTAGTTCCCCATAAGTTTAGACACATGTACGTGTACATATAAATATGTATGCATGTGTGGTTGAGCGGAAAAGTGCGCACACATTGACTTGCTAGAAAAAACGGCGTGCAGTGTTCACAGTAGATTCCGTCAGACGAAATAGGAAGGTTGAAAAAAAAAAAAAATAGGAAGGTTGCACACAAGGGCTCAAGTGACAAGTACGGCACCTGAAGAGAGTAGGGGAGCTTGCACAAGCCCACAAGGAGGAGAGGACCGGAAAGAGGGGGCTAAGGACCATGGCAGTGGAAAGAGGTAAGGGCAACGATAGGTAGGAAATTTGTGCACTGACGCTAGGGAGAAAAAGAGAGAGAGGGACAGAGAGGGATAGAGATCCCTTGACACGGCAAAAGAAACAAAAGCAAGAGAGACAAGAGGTCTCGACACAGCAATGAACCGCCACGACCTCGGGCGTTCTTTACGCCATACACCTACCCGTCTTCCCCCGTATAGAACGTACGTACGGTAATTAACCCTGTATTTGGAGCGACTTCAAGTCTAGATACAGCCATAATGACCGTACGTTATATTCTGGTGAAGCCGGTAACCAGCGACCAAGCATCATAGTTTCTTCGCTGATTTTCCTCTTCCTTCAACTTTTTCTTTCCTTCATTCGTTTTGTTCTTTCCTCTCACTTCACTTTTTCTTACTGTTGCGTGTCGTCTACTCTATACTGTTGTACTCTTGTTTTCCTCTTCCTCCTTCTGTTCGACGTCTGTTTTTTGCTTTGATACGATCCGGTGCTGCGCGGCAGAGAACATGTGCTGTGCTGCACGCCATTACAGGAGATCCCGTTCCCTTGGCCGCCTCGACGCAAGGACAACCAACCAACCAACCCCCCCGCCCGATTCAGACCAGAAGGTAGGGTGATAGACGGTCATGTGTATAGCGACAAGAACGGTAGAGACCACCGAACACAGTGAAGGGGAATGGGCGGCATACGAACCAACTTCCATTACAGGACGGAAAGAAACTTCCATTACAGGACGGAAAGCAAGTCCTCACGCACGTGGGCAGCAAGGCAACCGCAGAAAGGGGGGAGGAAAAAGCAGCGGAACGAGGGAGGGAAGGGGGCAAGGGGTGGGCCGGGGGGGACGCGGGGGGAGGGCAGGGAGGCCAGGAAAAGAGAAGAAGAAGATGAAGAAGAAGGCGTAGAGTAGATATGAAGAGAGCAGAGAAGAGGTAAGGCGGGAAGAAGAAGAAGAAGAAGAGAGAAAGAGAGAGAGAGAGAGAGCGTCTGACAAGTGGCAGAAACGACCAACTGAAGGTGCGCCAACGTGCAACATAGAATTACGATTTAGCGACAGTGGGACAATGAACGGGTATGATCTAGAGAGGGCGGGAAAAAGATGGGTGGATGAAAAAAGAGAAAGGGTACAAACGACTAAAGAGGAAAACACCCTTTCTTCTTTTCTTCTCGTTTCTTTTCTTTCTTAGGCGTATCTTGTCTCAACTACTTACCAATCCCACATCCCGACTTGATCCTCATAGAGGCCATGCGCAGAATCCACGTACACAGCCGCGATCCCAACTATCAGAAGCCAGCCAACCCATAACCCTGCACCTGGACTCGATCTTCTCCCCATCACTGTTTTCCCCCAGATACGTGTCTATCCCCCTTGCCAGCCCACCACTCCTCCTTCCTACCGACCTCCCAATTCCAACAAAAAGATGCCTCTCCTGCTGCCACGTGGAACCGATTACCTCATTTGTTCTTTGTGTGGTTGGCGGCAATCAACGACGCCAATGAACGACGCCGCCGCGACTGCCGCCTTGTCATGGCCAAGGGACGAGCACCTGCGCCCGAGACTCAGCATTCCCGCGCGTCGCATGCAGCGATCGACGCCGGTAGGCCCCCCGCGCTGCCACGTGTCCGCACCTCCTTCTCCTTAATCACTCTCGGGTTCGAGCCCCGAGCGCACTCCAGAAGCACAAACACCGACTCTCGCTGCTAGCGGCGTGGCGGCGAAAACCACATGCGGCGTGACGTGTCACCTGACGTGTCGTGAAAGTACCGGTGGACATCTACCCGTCTGCCGTACAACCCCCAACAGCCGAGGGCGCGACCGGTCGTCTGCAATCTGAATTCACAACCGACCACAGATGTCTGGACATCTGGTCCAGTCATGTCTGACAGGGGGAATTGTCTCAGGGTCTCGCCGCACGGCACACGAAACGAAAACGAAACGAGTGCATCTGCCCACGAAAGGTGGAAACTATTTATAGCAAACTGATGAACCTGGCCATTTTCTGGAGAAAGATGCACTCGTTTCGTTTTTCGTTTCGTGTCCCGTGCGGTGACGGGCTCAGACGGGATAGGTCCGCCCCAGGGACGACCGTTCTTGGTTCCCCTTTTCCAGGTGCGCAGGGCTTGGGTGCGGCCCAGCTGCCCTCAGATCGAGGGCGGACCCACTGGGGCAGCATGAGCTGTGAAGGCCTACGCCTCACCTCACTGGGCTATGCCACGGTGGCACGAGAACGTGGGAATTCGCAGCCCTACGGCTGCTGTACTCGCAGGCCGTAGCGCAATAGGGCAATTGAAACACCCTTCCTACGTCCATGTTGGGCCTACCCAGCGACCGGTACAGCTGAAGCGTTTTCAACGTTCATTATACCGGTCGTTTGTATAGGCCCAACGTGGACGTCGGAAGGGTGTTTCAATTTTCGGCAGGGCTTTGCAAGGGGCTGGGGAGTTGTCATGGGGAGGAGGGTCGGCACTTGGCCCTTGTCTTTAAAAAGCTGGAAAGGCGGGACCCAGGCGCTAAAAGGATAAAATGGCGTGGCCATAGCTACACCCTTGCCCCCAGTCAGCCCACTTTGACCCAGGGTCTTCCCACTGCACTGGAGCACTTCGTCTGAATCTCGAAACATTCCGAGCCAGATTCAGACACAAAAAGGAGTAGCGGTGTACGCTCTGTCCGTCTGTCACTGTCTGTTGTCCCTGTACCCGTTTGTCGGTCTCTCTCTCTCTCTCTCTCTCTCTCTCTCTCTCTCTCTCTCTCTCTCTCTCTCTCTCTCTCTCTCTCTCTCTCTCTC